AAATGTTTTAAACATAGATTATACTAAAGGAAAATAGTTAAATAGGGGCAAATACTTTATCAATTATATATTTGTTCAATTGTATTTTATCAATTATATACTTATCAATTACATATTTATATATAGTATTTTATCAATTATAAGAGGCTGTTCTACCTATGATGGGGGAGAAAGGACTAGGAGTCATGCCAAGATTGTGAAAATCATTCATAAATGAGCTATATTTTGCTGCATGTGTAATATATCTTTGTTTGGGACTAGAGAGATGGCTCAGTAGTTAAGAACACTTACTGCTCTTGCAGAGACCCCAGGGTCAGCTCTCAGAATACACATTGGGCAGCTCACAACCACCTATAACTCCAGTTCTAGGGAATCCAGTGCCCTCTTCTGGCCTCTGCAGGCACCTACATACATATGGTACACATGCATATACTCAGGCACACATACAGGCACATAAAAATAAGTAACACATAAAAATAAATCTTTTTTGAAGTTTTTTTTTAGTTTTTTTTTAGTTTTTTTTTTGTTTAGACTTAGTAAAAGAAATATATAGCACTTAAAGTACTATTCATTTATGTTATTTAAAACTTTTTGTAATAAAACACTGAAGATTTATAATTTTGTCCAAAGTTTATGTTGACAATATAGATTTTCCTTTACATTTTAAAATATCATTTGTGATTTCTTTTGTAGGCAAAATCAGAAGCTCGACCTGAATTGGCTTTATTTATGATAAAATACCTGATGACATTAATTGTTGGTATCTCTGCTGTCTTCTGGGTTGGAAGCAAAAAGACATGCACAGAATGGGCTGGGTTCTTTAAACGAAATCGCAAGCGAGAGTAAGAACTTACTGCATTGTCTGACATTGTTTTTAAACAAATGATGAAAATACTAGTATCTTTTGCCTAAAATGATTAAAAGTCAAACTAATAGAATATTCTACAATAATATCAGCACATACTTTATGAAGTTTATATGTATTCAACTAGCTCTACATTGTATATATGTTATAGAGTTTTTTCCTTCTTAAATTTCTGTTTCATGCATTATCTTTTGTTTGTATTTAAATCCTCTCCCCTATCTATAACCCCATCTACTACACCCGGCCCAATTTTATAACTCTATTATATATGCATTATTATATATAATTAACATATATTAAGACCTATATAGTCAAATTTGTGTCCTCAAGTGTCCTTCAGTGTGGATCCAGCCACTGGAGCTTGGTTAACCTACCAAGAGTCAAATCCTTAAAAGAGACTAACTCTCCCCTTCTCAGCAGCCATCAGTTTCCAATAGTTCCTCAGGTAGGGTTGGGGATTTTTACCTACTTCCCATGTCTATGCTAGGATTTTGTCTAGTTTGAGCTTACATGGTATTTGTGTATGCTGTCACCATGGCTGTGAGTTCATATGAGTAACTGACCAGCTGTTTGGAAAACTCCATTGCTTGTGGATATAGAGTTTTAAAAAATTGTTTCCCATTGGGTTAATTAATGAACTCTTGGTGATACAAACTTCAGAACTGTAGCTAGGTGGACTGGTCCCACCTGTAATCCTAGCACTTGGTGACTGCAGGCTGTTGCAGGAAGGTGGCAAGTATGAGGTTAGCATGGATCGTAGGACCCTGTTTCAACTTAAAAAAAAAAAAAAAAAAAAAAAGCATTTTTAATTCAGAATTGTGTATCCTTTTGCTAATTGTAGCTAAAAACTTGCATTTAACTGGACTTGATTTTTTTCACTGTTACTGTATGTGTACCCTGTATTTATCTACCCATACTAACTTACTGTAACTTATCAATTTTGATGTCAGGAAATAGACACTATCAATTATATTCTGTGTCCTTTTTCTTCTGGCTTACAGATTTCTATATGGGTCCCTCTATGTTGATTTGAATTTCCTTGCCTTCAATCTTTAATTTTTGACTATTTAATTTCTTACCAGTTTACTCTTTCTGCTAGCAAAAGCAAATAAAATGTTTGTACAACTAATTTCCTTATAAGAGAATCTACTGATTTCACAGTATTGTAATCTCAGATTCTATAAATATAATAGATCATGTAGAATTTCTAACTTTAATGAATGAGGTTTTTGGCAAAAGATTGCCAGTATCTTTTATAGTTTCTATCTGCAACACTTAAAAATTTGTCAAGTGACTTCTCTCCTTGGATTTTTCCTACAGTCCAATCAGTGAAAGCCGAAGAGTGCTACAAGAGTCATGTGAGTTTTTCTTAAAGCACAATTCTAAAGTGAAACACAAGAAGAAGCACTACAAACCAAGTTCACATAAGCTGAAGGTCATTTCCAAGTCCATGGGAACCAGCACAGGAGCTACAGCAAATCATGGCACTTCTGCCATAGCAATCACTGACCATGATTATTTAGGACAAGAAACTTTGACAGAAATCCAAACCTCCCCAGAAGCATCGGTGAGAGAGGCAAGAGCTGATGGAGCAAGCACTCCCAGAGCAAAGGAACAGGATTGTGGAGAGCCTGCCTCCCCAACAATGTCCAGCTCCAAGCTCTCTGGGGATCAGGCCAACAGGAAAGGCCCAGTGGGCAGTGTGAAAGACCAAAGCAGTGTATCAGAAGGTGCTCGGAGTGAGGGAAGGTGAGATTAGCTTTGTTTTCTAAAATCATTATGATTTTAAATAGTGCATTATCCATTTTTTGTTGAAGTGTAACACATTTGGAAAGTAAGCATTTTATGATGATATGTCTCTTCTCTTAATCCAGGGAAGTTTGGGCTCAGCCTGTAAATGTGCTGCTTAGTAGTTTAATTCTTAGTTTTAAAAAGTCTTAATATATGTTGGTCAAGTTGGAAAGTAATGCTCATTTCTTATGGTAATTATTAAGAGTTACATGACATTTAGATAAATGTTTAAAATTTTTCTGAAATACAAGCTAAAATATTATCATGTATCACAGTGGTACAAGCCTATAATTCCAACACAGTGGAAGTAGAGGCAGGAGGAACATGAATTTGAGGCCAACCTGGGTTCCATAGCAAGATCAAGTCCAGCCTGGGCTGTAATAGTAGCAAACCCGTTTCAAACAAAACAATCCATTATATAGTTCTATCTAAAAGGTGATGTTTTATACAAAGATGATTATAAAAGATTTTCACGTTTCTGAACATGAAAGGATATTAGCATCTTTAGTCAATTTTTCCAAATGGTCAAAGATAATCAAAGCACAGAATTTTTGCCAGAATGCTGACAGCTAACTAACTACATTAAGCTCTCAAGGTTATCCTACTTAGCCCTTTCGGACTAGGCTAAATATACCTTGTCTGTTCTCATAAACCTATAGTAACTAGATAGATGCTTTTATCTTCCACTGGATTTGAAAGCTCCTCATAGGAGGAGCTGAGGTTATCTTTGTATTCCTAAATTCTTGTGTGGTGTCTTCTCTGTGGTGGGAGCAGGAGTCTGTCCTATGCTTCGTGTGAGACATTATGTTCAGCCCACACAGGAATAGCGCTTGATAAAGTTTCTGAAGTTAGCAGAGTTATATTTGAGAAAAATTACTTGTATTTTGAAGTGTTAGAATATACCACAGTTTTAATGGATTATCTTCTGATAAAGGCCAGTGCTGGTCCAGGGTAAAACTCATACAATAATGAACAGCAGTTATACGGATGACTGACAGCCCTACTTGTGCTTCTGTATATATGCATGCCAACTGTGTTTCTTTTTTCTAGGACAAGTCCAAAGAGTGACATTACTGAAACTGGCCTGGTAAAGAGCAACAATTTGCAGGTCCCCAGTTCTTCAGGACCAAGCAGCCACAAAGGTTCCACATCTCTGCTTGTTCATTTAACTTCTGGAGTTAGAAAAGAGCAGGGTGCTGGCAGTCATTCAGATACTTGAAAACTTTCATTACCCTAGGAGCAAATTCATATTACACTGGAGATGGCTAATGTACTGTCTTTAAAAAAAAAAAAAAATCACTGTTGGACTGGGAGTATAGCTCTGTGGTAGAGTACTTGCCTAGCATACTTGAAGACCTGGGTTCAAGTCCCAGCACTTAAAAAAAAATTACTGCTACATTTTTCTTTTGCACTTAAAGCTGCATTATCTACTGTTATACTGGGAAAAAAAATAGATTTCAAGAATAATACAATTCCTTGTATCCTTGGAAAACAGAATTGTGCAGGTTAATAATGTCTTTTAATTGTGGAGGTGAGGAAGGAGTTAGAGGAATCTTCACATTCTATTTATGAAGAGTCTACTCTTGTTAAAGTATTTTAAGATATATTATGCTATTGTACTCTTTTGATATGAAAATCAAGATTTTTCATTGTTGAAGTATTTAAAACATTATTGTACCTTTATATATATTTGAAAATAAGCTTATATGTATTTGAACTTTTTAAAAAATCTTGGAAAATTGGTTCAAATATTTTTATGATGTTATTCTATTATTTTAGCTATTTTGTTACTGTGGTAGCTGTTACACTGAAATTTTTTAATAAAATTGGAAAATAGTATTATTTTATAGTGTAATGAATAGGTATCACACCAAATGTTCTATAATAAGGATTCACCTTTTAAAACCCCTTCTACTACCTTACCATCTTACATGTGTGTATTTTATTGTGTCATTATTTTAAGAATCTCACAGATCTGTCTTATAACTAAAAAAAAGGTGCTTACTGAAGTAGTGTCCGTTTTTGCTGTTGTTGTTGAAACAGGGTCTCACTATGCAGCCCTGACTGACTTGGAACTCACTATGTAGTCCAGGCTGGCCTCCAACTCACAGAGATCTGCCTGCCTCTGCCACCCTAGTGCTGGGTTTAAAGGCGAGCGCTAGCGTCTAATCACAACTGTACTATGCTGCTCCCTGATCCTTCTGTGTTTTTAAAATAAAATGTCTCAAGGGATTAATAGGTAAAATGTTAGTCTGTTATAAATTAAGCCCAGGGCAGTTGATTTCCTTTTTTTTTTTTGTAATGTTTCATGCCATGATCACTCATGATTGCATTATGACTATTTACAGTTGCTTATACTTTTCCTTTGTTTGAATTTTTTGACATTCACAATACTCTAAACATATTTTATAGTGAGTATTTTTCTCAGATGCTATATTGAATTCATTTCTGCATCTGAACATTCAAAAAAGTATGTTAGCAATATTAGTGCCAATCAAATGGGGAAAATGTAGGTCTGTACAACATGCATAAAAACATTATGGAATTTTCTTAATTTTGTTCCTCTTTAAGTATTATTTCTTGAGCAAAGTTTCCTGATGCTTTGTGCCTGTCTGGCATTCTATTTAAGTTTAAAACAAAAATTATCATGTACTGTATGGAAAAATGTTGTAAATACTAACTTTTCCACGTTTGTAAACAGATAACTTTGTGTACAAGAACTTTTTTGTGTGATTCTTTTCATTAATAAAATTTTCTTTGTATAAAGTATTTTATTCTATGGCAGGTATTATAGTGCAGACCCAGGAACTAGTGTAATCCTTCAGATCAGTGATGCTATGACTAATAAATTAGAACCTTCTTTTTAGCTGAAGAAAGAAAAGACCATGACGACCCTTACTTTTTGCCACAGTTTCTTCCCCCCAATATAAATTATATAGGTATATTTATTATAGCATGTGTAAGGCCAATGGGAGGCAGATGGGGTAAAGCAAAGGATCCCAGAGTGCTACCTCTGCTGCTGACGGTGCATTAGATAATTTCCACAAACCTCCCAAAATAAAACCAAAATGTGTGGATGTAGTAATGTTGCATTCCAGATACTGAAAAGCTAATAAAATAGTGAGGAATTGCCAATATTTGGGAGGAGGGAAATTTGTATTCCTGATTTTTGGAGCTGCTTCTGTCTAGGAGCATATGCTGGTATGAAATTGTGGCCGAGAAGTTACTGTTCCTGAGAGAGCCTCAAGGGCCAACAGAAACCCTTCAATTGCTGATAGGAATGCAAATTCTGTGTCCACTTTGAAAATGGTTAGTCAGTTTTTACTTGGCTGAATGTACCCTTACCATGTGATCTATTCTTATATCTATTGTAGCTCATTTATGTAGATAATCCATCTTGAATGTGGAGTAGAACTCTCCAGTCCTTTATGTGAGACATTTCCTGGAAAGACACAACATACACATCTACTCACCCCAGTTAGGGAACCCACAACAGACCAAAGAAATAATACCACCAAAGTTCAACTTGGTGAACCAATGAGTTTATTGGGGTAACAGGAACAGGGGCTCAAAAGCAGCTGCATCACGGAAAAAGCTCACTTCAGTACAAGTGGTAACTCAGGAAAGCTAGATCTCTGGAGCTATCTTGACTTTTTCACTTGATAGGTTAAAGGGTCTCTTCTACCCAGCTGGGCTGGTCAGCGTGTCCTCACCCACAGTTGTTTACTGCTTCCATAACCTTGGGAGGGTCCCTGGTAAATCCCCTAAGTTTCATCTTTTCAGGACAGTAGTTTGTTTATTTCCTGAGTCTAATGAGCTTCCCTTCTCCTTCCTGGAAGAAATGTTTCAATTAAGAAGAAATTGTTATAAAACAAGGGTGGGCAGCAAATAATAGCTTCCAAATAAAGGGGGGCGGGGGGCTTGGGAGTGTAGCTCAGTGCTGGAGCCCTTGGCCTAGGATATACTAAGCTTTGGTTTCCATTCTCAGCATTGGATATGGGGAGAATCTCCTGCTCTACAGTAGAGAAACCTGACAGACAATTTCAGCTGCAGGTGCCTGTGATGATTAGTCAGAAGATGATCAAATTCAGCATCTACAGTGATGCATCATTTTGGGAGTCTGTGCCTTTGAGGAAAATGGTACCTTTTTTTTGTGATCCTCCTCCCTCGGATCCCGAAACTCAGCCTGATCATGAGAAAAATACTAGGTAAATCCCAGCAGACAGACATGTTGCAAAATACCTGACCAGTACCACTCAAAAGGAGTCAGATTATCAAGAACAAGGAAAATCTGAGAAACTGTCAAGAAGAGATAAAGACAATGTGACAAATCTATAAATTGGCAGGGGGGGGGTACACTGAATAAAAACTAAGGAAATCTGAGCAAAGCATGGGCTTAGTTGTTATCGTCTAGGGGTCTTGATCATGTTTGTTTTCTCCACCAATTAAAGAATTAAAGCCAGGAAAAATCTCAGACACAACATAAAGCAATGATAACGAACTTTATTGAAAATGAGGAAACACATATTCAGACTCCAGTGAAGAGGGGATTTGGAAAATGAAAAAATCCAAAATCCTCAGGAGGGCTTGAGCCTTTCAAGTTTTTCTGGTGGTGTGGGGCAGGTCCCACTCCCCTAATTTTGGATTGGTCTGTAGCAAAAAAGATCAGACAGGACATAAGGAGTGTACAGGAAGAAAGTATTTTATTTAGGTTGCAGTCTGAGATGCAAGCCTTAACCTGGAAGGAAAGTAGCACATATCTTTTATACCTTAGACTTTGGGTTACACTGGGAAGGAAATACTAATTGAAAGTCATTGCAGATGTCTGTAACTGAAGAAAATAGGAAGAGGAAGCATCTATGAAAAAGGGAGACAAAACCATAGGCTAGCACTGGATGAGTGCCAGTATTCCAACCACAAAGTCTGTTGTTAAGAGTCCAGGTCAGCAGTGACCCTCCCCCAGTGCAGTAAAGCTTCGAAGAGACAGGCCCCAGGGGCCTCTTGAAAACAGTTGAGTCAGCATGTCTGTTTCCCCCTGATAAGTTTCACAATGTATCTACTCCAGGCTCCTATGGAAGCTGGTTTTATCCTCTGACTGAAACTATTTTTATCTTTTCCACCTTTTCACCCCTATAGAAGCCTCCAGCCAGCAGCTTGTGAGCTGGTGGCTTCCTCACTCCGGAGCTGAGAGCCACCCATGTGATCTTGCAAATAAACTCTGCTCTGCCAGAGTTCTTGTCTGTGTCTCAGTATTTGCCTATCATATGGTGCCGAAACCCAGGATGCCACCATTGGAGATTACACATAAACAATTCTGGCTGGATCCGGCCACTGCTACCTGTCCCCTGTGCACATCTCTGATTCGGCTTTAAGATGCACCCTGACTCTTTCCTCTCTCCCTGTTCTCTCTTTCTCTCCCCCTCTCTCCCTTCTCAACTTCTCTGTTTAATTTGACTCGGAGGTCACTCCTGGACCAAACTCATGGCCACTGGGCAGCACTGGTCTCCGTGACCATTGAGTGTCCAGCACGGTTACTGTGTCTGCCTAAGCCCACCTGAGGGGTAAACCTGCCCCTCCATCACTCTCAAATCCTTTCTCTTAGAGTCTCCCAGTCCCAGTGACTAGTTCTCCTAAAGGAGCACAGACCTCTCCCAGCCTGCTAAAAGGTTTTCCAGCTGCCCATTGTGACCAGGGGTCCCAGAGACCTTAGCAGCCTACTACCTATGCAGGGGGTACAGACCTCTTGTCTTGAGGTTCTGTGTAAACCTCTTGAATTTTGGCTCCATGGACCAGAGTCTCTCTTTCCCTCATTCTATGCATACTATCTGGACTTTCTAGAGGAGGCCAACCCCACGAAGGCATCAGCTTGACCTGAGGCATATCCAAAGGCTGGTCCTAAGACCAGGTAAAATGGGGAAGGCAGACTCTGGAAGTTTCCACTTTCCTCCTTTTTCCTCTCACAGCCTCACTAGGCCTCAGTCTCTCTCTCTCTCTCTCTCTCTCTCTCTCTCTCTCTCTCTCTCTCTTCCCTCCTCACATCTCTTCACTTTCATTTCCCCACGTTCTGCAATTCAGAGCTTTTCTTTTCCACTCTTCTTTCTTGCTCCTACCCTCTTCGAGCTCCTCTTCCTCAGCTTCCACTGAGTTTCAGACTCTCTCTCTCCCTCTCCCCTCGCCCCCCTACACCCCACTTTTGATTTGCTACTCCACCACCTGGCCATGCCACACTCTAGCTCCCGCGCTTTCTGCTTGAGTCATAAATCTACACTGGTGTATCAGAAAGCTCCTTCCTTCTCTGGTTATGGGACGCCATTTCCAGAGACAGGAACGCACTCACCTTCCTGTCCAGGACAGGAACCCACTCTTTACCCTCTCTGGTAATTGCAGGATGCTGCCTCCAGGGATAGGGAACATGTTTCAGGCCTCCATTGGTAAGGGATGCCTTACTTGACAATTGGTCCCTCACACTCTCACTTGGCATGACCTGCAGCCTATGTCTCTGACCCTCTTTCTCCCTCCTGCCCTTCTTTTCCTGTACCTCTTGCCTTTCTGCCTGGAATCCTAGCTGCCATCCCAGACTCCACTCCTTGCAGTGAGAGGATCCTTATCATCTCTTTCTACCTACTTTCTCAGTTCCTCCTCTGTTGGGAGCTGTTAGTCTATTATGTACATTAAGCTGTGGCAGGCTTGTTTACTGAGTTTGTGTTATGCACACCAGTACCTAATCTGCCTAATCAGGAGGAATGTGTTTATATGGAGAGCCTCACAATACCTGACCTGGAGGCAATATTTGACCGCTCCTTGACCCTCAGGTACAGGTGGGAAAAACAGCTGTTGGAACTAATTGAGTTCTTCTGTATAAAAAGGCAGAGCTGAAATAAACCGGGGCTGCAGTCACTACTGTCAGCCCTCCCAAGCATCTTTTCTGTCTCTTGTTTTTTCTTTCAATCCTCACTCCGCCTTTCGGGTACTGTCCATCTTGGCCAGCTGGCACCGGCAAGTGGTGCCCAGAACAGGGACCTGAAAAGTAGGGGGAAAAGTGAAGGACATAGCTGGAGAAATTAAGTGAGTGCACTCGGTACAATTGGGGAGCGGTGAGTATTTATCTTGGGAGAAGATGGGGCAAGGAAACAGTCGCTCAGTTTTTGTAAGGAATATGCTTGGGGCCTGAGGAGCAAAGGCTGAGACTAAAGAGGAGAATCCAATAAGCCACGGCTGGGATAAAAGTGAAACCAAACCTTCCGCTCCACCAGAGCCAGCTCCATTAGCCTTGCCACCCTTTTATGAGGACCCCCGTCTGGGGCTAGAAGAAGGATCTCGACCCTGAGGATGAGTCTGCCCTAGGAGAGGAGATGGTTGAGTATGATCAGGAGAAGTGTCCACCTTTAATTGCTTTGCCTGATCACTGGGAAATTAAGCAATTAAGGGCAGAGTTAGATGCTGTGAAAAAGGGAATGTTAAAGAACAAAGAGAAAAGAATTAGGACCACCCCAACACCCTCTCTCATGGTAGGATTAGAGCCTCCTCCAAGGCCACCAAAGGCTGTTGTGCCTCCCATGATTGCCATGGCTCAGGAGCCTTCAGAAAGAATCTGGTACCCACTTAGAACCTTGCAATCTCTGCTACAACAGGCCATTTGGGCCGTGGTAGAGAGAGGAGAGTCAGTGCATGGATTTCAGGTCTTCCCAGTTTCTGAGCAAGTTGATCAGCAG